TCTCTAAATCACATTTTAGTTTCTCTCTATGATAATATAATAATATACTAAAAAAAGGAGCAGATTTAGTGACGTTAAAGCACTAAATATATATAGGATTTATAAAATACTGATTATGACAGAATTTTAAACTCTAACCAAAACATCTTATAAAACTATTATATAATAAATTTCTAAAGATGAACACTTTGCATAAATTATGGAATTACCAATTGATCATGCAATAACCATTAATTCATGAGAAGATAAGATGGATAGTTTGATATCACGACCAGGATTTTTACCTTCAGTAACTTTTAATCACCAATTCTCCAATTTCTGAACACTGGATCCTTACTCCCAGCCTGAGTGGCTCTCAACAAAATATAAATCCATAATGTGTTTTCTGCACAATAGCGTGCGCTTTTTTTTTTTCTTACTTCCCCTTCTCAACTTTATAAATACTGTGTTTCCTTTCTCATCAATAGATTATTATATAATATACCTTTATTTTCTTTTTTTTATCTTCCTTGCATTCTTCTATTTATTACTTTGATTTTTTCTGCTTTACAATGAGCATATGTTTTGTTGGATTGAATGTGAGTGCCATTTTGATATTGACACATGCTCAAACAAACTTTTATTAATATACCTCCCATTAGATTCATTTGAATTCTTTGTATAAACTTGTAAACTCTACATGCATAGATTCAAATTTTAACAAATATATAAAATCTTTCTTCATTACAAAATAATCATTAATATTTCAGTTATGATAACGTATGAATTAAAAATATTATAATAAATTATCATCAAATATTATTTTTTATTAATAAATTTTTTAGTAATAAAATGTTGTACTATGTAATTATTAAAACGGTTTTGTTTAATTTTTTTTATTGTCACAATTTATATATTAATTTAAAACATTTAAAATTAAGTATGATAATTTTATAGTAAAAAAAGTTATTTAAATAATTTAATCCAATATTATATCAAAAATTTGAATTTTCAGATAAATTGAAATATTTTTTATTATTATTATTTTTTAATTTTAGGTGTAAAGTGATTTAAAAAAAATATAAAATCATAGACAACTTGTAAAGTGAGGTTAAAAAACAACGTGGCGTAATATAATTAGGGATTACTTCTCGCGAAAGTTTCGTAGGAAAAGTACTTGAATTTAGCCCTTTTCCCACACAACGCCACGTCACTACCGCAATTGCATTGCAACTCCTTTGAATAGGGAAGATGTATTCTTCTACGGACAACCCTATTTTTACTTCTCTTGTATTGGTCAAAATTCAAAAAAGTCAAACATTGTGATTTTTGGTTCATTTTATTACTTGTTATTACTGCCAAGTACACTTGGGCACATAATCATGAATCATGGCAGAGAACGATTTCATTGAAAAGTTCAAATTATAATATGAACAAACAAATATTACCTATTGATCCTCGTACTCTACATACACCTTCTTCTATTTAAAATGTTTTCTGTTGCTTTCTTCATTTTTGTTTTAGCTTTTCAAAGTTTTGATTTTCAAGATCAGTGATGTTTTAGTTTCGCGTAAAATAAGATATTATAAAAACGATTTCAAAGTCATTCTCCTACTCAAGATTTTAAAAAACTTGCATGCTAAAAAATTTAATAAATAAAAAATTATATGTTTCGTTCAGTGTTATGATAACAAGTTAATTTCTATATTTGATATACTCTTTCTATAAATTAAAACAGAAAAATGGACATAAATTATGTTAATCTTATGTGAAACTCGTACAATAATTTTGAAATTTTGAGAATACAAAGAAAAAATAATTTAATTTTTTTCACCTTTAATCTTTAATATAAATATAACAAATGCAAACTTTTATCCATTTATTGTTTTAGCTTAATTTTTCTAAAAAATAAAATATATTTTAAATTTTTTTTACCAAAAAGTTATTTACTATGATATAGTTGAATGATGTTTCTAATATTATAGTAATAATGATTGATAGAATATTTGGATGATCTTCTAAATGATCACTAAGAAAAAAATAATTCTTCAATTTTTTTGTGTAAATTAAAAATATAAGATTAGAGGTATTATAGAAATATTTTGTATAAATTACAATTATTTTTTTAATTTTGTTAATATTTTGTCTGAACAAAATTATAAATATATCCAATATAATAATAATAATAAATTATTTATTATTATTTTATATAACATATTTTTTTCTTCTGTCTTCATATTTAATTTTAAAAGTGATTGAGGCACACTTTTCCCTTGCAATATATTATTTATTAGTTAATCATTCTTTCTAACTTGTGAGTTGAGATAGGTGAAGAAGATTAAATTAAGTCATCAAATTATTTTATTTTATTTTATTTATTCAAGTTCAAAAATTCATTAATTCAAACTTAAATTATTTTTTTTATATATTTAAATTATTTGGATAAATTAACCTACCAACTTTTCACAACACAAGGTGAGTTATTGTGGTCAACATGATCCATTCCATTTTTAACAATGTATCTAAACAAACTTACCTTATTTGTCATTCTACAACAAAAATATGTTAACCATCATTTTTTAATTAATGTTCATGCACACCCATAATTAGTTCATTATTATTTTTAGAATATTTCAGATATTTGCAATAAATGAATTCCATTCATCATATAGAAAAAAATCTGAAGAAATATTGGATAATTATCATGTAAAATAAAACATTTTTAAAGAGAAATATGACTAACATATTTTTAATATGCATTTTTAAATATATTTAGTTTATTTTTCAAAACTTACAAAGTTATTAAATGAACCTTGTTTCTTTTTATCCTATTCTGCGTTTTTTTCTTATAATTTTTAATAAATATATTTTGAAATTGTTGTAAAAATAAATATTTTTAATAGAGAATATTTGATTTTTTCTATTTATTTGTTTTTGGTTACTTTTATTATTATCAATAGGATAATACAAAAATGGAAGCATGAGAAGAACTAGACGAGTGTTGAACGTTGAGCATTCGTGTCAACGGACGCCAAATACAATTTCAATGTGGCGAAATGTTAGGAATAAAATATAAATTCACACGCCAAATATATTATTATTATTAAAATTAAATTTTAATTTAATTAAACAAACAGAAGAACTGCATAAAAAAATATGCAAGAATATTATAATGTATAATAACTCTTATATGCTTTTTATAATAATTATATTTGATATAATTGTTTTATTTAAGAGTATAAAATTCTGAATAAATAATATTCCATACTCTGACAGTGTACAGAATTTTATGACAATAATAATTTTAATATTATATAAATTATTATTTTTTATTGGTCGATTGTGGATATAATTTAAACACTGAATCTTTTTATATATAAAAAATTAATTAATCTCATTATTTAATTTTCTTTCTCTAATAAATCATAATTTTCATATTGACAAAATAATCAAATAGATAACTTTTTTACAGCAAATTTTATTATATATATATATATATATATATATATATATATATATATATATATATATATATATATATATATATATATATATAAATAGAAGAAGAAGAACAAGTTATTAATTTTGATGTGCTTGTCTTTCTTCCCTCCAATCATTTTCTTTACTTCTGTGTCTTGTTTTTCTTTCTTGTTTTTTTTTTCTCTGATTTTCCGGGAAAATTTCTCTCACTCTTGCTCTCTGGTTTCCCGGCGACAGAGGAGGAAGCAGAAGAGTAGAAGGAAGACATTTCTCTGCTTCTACGGAAACTCTTCCCTTCACTTCCTTCCCTTTCTCTTCTCAATTTCCGTGATCATCACAAATTTCTTTACTCCTTAGTTTCAATCCTCCATGAATCGCCTCTAGCCCCTCCTCTCCTTCTTTCTCTCCCACAAGGTACTCTTCTATTTCGGTTTCTTGCTCTTTCTTTTTTTTTTTCTTTCTTTTTAGTTTCCTAGTTTATTTATTTTTTTGTTCTGAATTCATGCTTTTCAAGGATTAGGGGTGTGTCAAAATTAGTTTTTTCCTTGAAAGTTTTGTTTTTTAGTACTTGATCGGATTTACTGGAAAGTGTGTCTCCTTGTTTTGGTGCACAAGCTTGAGGTGTTGGTGTGTGATGAGAGCTACGTTCGTTGGTGTGGGGTCTCGGTCGTGATGCTGTGTAATCTGAGTGTAACTGTCTGTGCTTTAAATTTTGCTTTGTGGGTTTTGTTGAAGTTGATTATTTTTTTTGGTTATGTTTGATTTGGAGTTATTTTTGGTTAAGTTGACCCTGTGTACTTTCTTACCCTGTTGTTTTGAGAGAGTTTACTGAGGTTGTTTGTTTGTGTTTGGAACTTTGTTGACTCTAAGGTCTTGTGCCGGAAATATGGGGAGTTATCTTTGTTAAAATCATGCTCTTTATTCTCAATGGGTGATTGAACTATTTCAGCAGTTCATCTGTGAATTTTTTCTCCTAAGTTGAATTCTGTTGCATAATGAATCAGAATGTATGTTGTATATTACATCTGTTGAGTGTTATATATTGTATCTGTTGACTTCCATAATGATGTGTAAGATATCATAGGTTTCACCCATGTTCCATTCTCCTTCCCTCACACCTTTAATGGTCAGCTCATTTTTTTAGTATTGGTTTCATCCTGTTGAACTTCATTCAGCCAAATGAGATATAAAAGTTGTACTGATTTACACAATGTCATGTGTGTAGTTGTTGGTTAATTCAACTTACTAGATATCAATAGTGGTTGTAATCTGTGCTTCAAATATTATACAGTTGATTGCATCTTAGCCTTTGTACTCACTGAGGGAAAGTTAAGAAAGGTATAAAACTACAAGAAAATCTTTGTCTGTCTCTGGCGAGACTAAATTGTGATGCATTCTACTTGATTGTGACAGTTTTTCCATTTTTGGAACATTTTTCACAATATGTTTTTTATGTCTTCGAGCAATTGATTTAAGATATCTGACTCTCTCCACTCTCTTTCGTTCTGTCACGTTTTACTACTCTTAGAAAGTGACTGAAAATGGATAAACATTCTGGGGATTCTTCATCAGCACATGCTGCCGCAGGTTTGTCCTCTTCATCAGTAAATACATAAAATTCTTCTATAGTGGTTTTTTCTTTTTTAAGCCAGTTTGTGTTGTTTCTGTAGGTTCAACTGAGATTCCCTCACTCAATGCTCAGAAAAAAGGGGCAAGCAGTGCATGGGGAATCCCACGAGCAAATGAGGTGTTCCATGATTCAAGTGATATCAGCTTGTTTTCTAGTTCACTGCCTGTTCTTCCACATGAAAAGTGTAAGCATGAGATGATGTTTCTGATGTACAGATTGGAATCATTCAAAATATTTATTTAGACACTCCCCTTACTTTTCTCATTTTTAATATTGATGTACAGTAGATTTGACTGATTCTGAAAATAATGGCCAACCGGATGATGATAGCTTGCTCATATTAGAGAAAGTTAATAAAGAAGATGAGGGACATGATCCTTTTGATGATTTTGAAACCAATGCAATAGGGAACATGCTTCCTGATGATGAAGATGAGCTTTTAGCTGGTATTATGGATGATTTTGACCTCAGTAAATTGCCCAGCCAACTGGAGGATTTAGATGAAAATGATGTGTTTGTCAACGGGGGAGAATTTGAGATGGATTTTGAATCCCAAGAGAGTCTTAACATTGGAATGTCCAAGATAAATATATCAGATGGAGTTGCTTCAAATGGTATTGGTCACTATGCAATCCCAAATGGTGTTGGAACGGTGGCTGGGGAGCATCCCTATGGAGAGCATCCATCAAGGACACTATTTGTTCGAAACATCAACAGTAATGTCGAGGACTCTGAATTACGAACACTATTTGAGGTATTGGATATTTGCCTAATGCTTCAACAGTGTTATATATGTTTTTAAACAAAGTGCTCAATGTGTGTGGTAATCATGCTTTTGCTTCTTTAATTGCAAAATGCAAACCTTAGTACATGAATTAAGAGCAATAATTGAGACATTTGCATTGAGTCAATCCTTCAATAGAGTTTATGCCTATCTTTAGACTCAACTGTGTTTGGAAATCTTGCTTTTGCATGTTGAATTATTATTAGTTGGTTTATTTGCTTATTGGGAGATTACCAATTTCTTGCTTAACATTTTTAAAAGTAATTTTCTAAGTAAGCTTCTTATGGTTCGTTTAGTGGTAAGTTTTTGGTTAGGATGTTATAGAAAGTTTCCTATCATTCAACCTTTTAATCTGATAGCTTCTTTAAATTTGGCAAGAGTAATGTTTTCCAATTATATTGTTAAGCTTGAAATTCAGTAAATATGAAGGTACAAATTTCATAGTGAGTAGACTTCTTTTTTAATATAACTATTGATGTTATTTGTGACATCTAACACGGGCTGAAAAAAAATGTAATTCTTCAGACATGTTCATAGAGGAGAAAGTATTTTATTCACTGAAATAATGATTACAAAAAGTGTCTATTTATAGTATAGAGAAAACAAAGTAACAGACTAACTGAAAATTACCAAACTACACAGCTGTCAGGTAGTGACAGGTGTAACTAATTCCATTTATGACAGAAGCTTATTATACTATACTCTAACATCTCTTAATGAAATATTGAAGTATGTTGATATTTGCATTTTGGAGGGAGGAAGTCATGGATTATTAGTGTAAATTTCTGTTACAAAATTGGTTTGTAGTTTTTTTTTCCTGACTGATTATTAGTAGGAATGTCTCTGTCAATATAAATTATTGTGTAGTCGAGTATGTTTAAGATATTCATTCATGATTTGTGTACAACTTAAAAAATCATTTTCCTCCTTTTATTATCTATTCTTATTGTTGAATATTTTCCCTTTTATTTGATAGCTATATGGGGATATCAGAACTTTGTATACAGCATGCAAACATAGAGGCTTTGTGATGATATCATACTATGACATTCGAGCTGCTCGCACTGCCATGCGTGCTTTACAAAACAAGCCGTTGAGACGGAGAAAACTTGATATTCATTTTTCAATTCCTAAGGTTTGATTTTTGTTTCATTACTTAGTGACTGGTTAATTTTTATGTTGACTTTTTGAGTTATTCATCTTTCTTCTGCTTGTTTCAGGATAACCCCTCAGAAAAAGATATTAATCAAGGAACCCTTGTAGTGTTCAATTTAGATCCATCAGTCTCAAATGATGACCTTCGGCAAATATTTGGGGCTTATGGTGAGGTCAAGGAGGTAACATTTGTTTATCTGTTCATCTCAATTGTATTTTCTTTGGTCTCCACTTAATTTTTATCTAGTGCTTGGAGTAGTTGTAATTGTGTCATAATTTCAGATCAGGGAAACTCCACATAAGAGGCACCATAAATTCATTGAATTTTATGATGTTAGAGCAGCAGAGGCAGCTCTTAAAGCATTAAATCGAAGTGATATTGCTGGGAAACGCATAAAACTGGAACCTAGTCGCCCTGGTGGAGCACGTAGAAAGTAAGTTGGATTTTATCTTTGTTAGACATAAACATATTTCCTGCATAAATAGTTTTTCTCCCTTAACGTGGTTTAATTACATGGTTGAAAGTTTTTACAATAGAGGTGCACCCAAGAATATCTATTTTATACATTAATAAAAAAATGTTTATCCCTTGAGCAGATATTAAGCTAGTTGCTTGTAAAATGTTAGTAAGTTGGTGCAAGTTACTTTCTTTCAAGAAGAAATTTTCTGGGTTGTTAATCTGGAACGGAAAAGGTGATAATGTAGCTCCTATTATTCATCATATTCTTAAATTGGCTTATTGGATAAGCAGGACAACTTATTAGATTTTAAAAGCAATTTAATGTGACATGATGACATCCTTTAAAATTTTGCTATCCTAAAGTGATCTTCTAAATATCCCATTTATATGAGTAAATTTCAGTTTCAATACATGGATATAGTTCGGCTATTCTATTTTCTATGACTTCCACACCTTTCATGTTGTCATGCCATTTTCATTTTATCTTCACATGAAAAACAGTAATGTATTGGGGTCTATGTACTAACTAGTCACTCTGTAGGGAATCTTTAGGTTTCAATGTCTTTGCAAACATATAATTTGGATGTCAAAGGAGATGGATGTTGAGAAATAAAGTTATCACTTTTGCATCTGGATTTCTGTACCAATCTGTATTGAAATATAATATACTTTTGGTGGATGTATTAAGCTTGTGCAATATAATTGCTTTTGCGGATATTTATTCTCATCTTTATGAGGAACTCTAACTACATGTCTTGGCCTCCTTTTTTGCAATGGTACAGTGTGCATGTAATTCTTGATCAATTACACGTCATTCTTGTAGACACTTCAGACTTTGGCCTATTCAAGCTTTCATCCCATGTGCCTTTTTGTTTTCTCTTGGCCTTATTTGTGTTCCTATGTTGGCTAATTATGCTATATGTCTTTGTGCCTCTGACAATGTTATTATCTTTGTAATTAAACCTATAAATAAACTAGTGACGCATTTCTCTTGTTAGCTTGATGCAACAACTGAGTCAAGAACTGGAACAAGATGAAGCTCGAACTTTTAGACATCAAGTGGGTTCACCCCTGGCCAATTCTCCTCCTGGTAAAGACCTCTTAAATCCAATCATTTTCCTCATGCAAATTCTAGTTCGTCATTTTTGAAAGGTACTCTCAGTTACTTGCTAAATTACTTGGCAATTTTTTCTCAGGTAGCTGGGCACAATTTGGTAGTCCGGTTGAACACAATCCATTAGGTTCTTATAGCAAGTCCCCTGGTTTGGGTCATGCCAGTCCCATTAATACCAATCATATGTCTGGTTTGGCTGCAATTCTTTCCCCACATGCAACAACCTCTCCCAAGATTGCACCAATTGGCAAGGACCCTGGAAGGACTGCAAATCAGATGTTTGCAAACTCCGGATCAACACAAGGAGCATCTTTTCAGCATTCTATGTCCTTTCCTGAGAAAAATGTAAATGCAAGTCCAATGCCTATATCTAATTTTGGCGAATCAAGTTCAGGTGCATCAAGTATTGGAACACTGTCTGGTCCTCAGTTTCTTTGGGGAAGCCCAACTCCTTACCCCGAGACTTCGAACACTTCTGCCTGGTCTTCATCTTCTGTGGGCCTTCCATTTACATCTGGTGTCCAGAGGCAGGGTTTCCCATATACTAGTCATCGAAGTCCTTTTCTTGGCTCCCATTCCCATCACCATGTTGGGTCTGCTCCATCTGGTCTTCCACTTGATAGGCAGTTTAACTACTTCCCTGAATCACCTGAAGCTTCTCTCATGAGCCCTGTTGCTTTTGGGAATTTAAATCAAAGTGAAGGGAATTTTATGATGAACATGGGTGGTCACGCATCCATAGGAGCTGGTCTCTCAGGAAATATTGCTGAACTTAGTTCTCCTAATTTCAGAATGATGTCACTTCCTAGGCCTGGTTCCTTGTTCCATGGAAATAGTTCATATGCTGGACCAGGAGCAAATAACATTGATGTATTAGCTGGACGTGGACAAAGTAGACGGCCTGACAATGCTGGGAACCAAATGGATAGTAAAAAGCTATACCAGCTTGATCTAGACAAAATCGTCAGTGGTGAAGATGCAAGAACTACTTTAATGATTAAAAACATCCCTAACAAGTAAGAACAACTAAACAAGTGTCCTAGATACTAAAAATTTGTTAAGCATGGTAATTGGTAAATCTTGATGACTTTGGGCTGTTGTGGTTGTTTAAGGTATACCTCAAAGATGCTACTTGCTGCAATTGATGAGAATCACCGGGGTACTTATGACTTTCTGTACTTGCCAATTGACTTTAAGGTATGCACATCCTCATACCTTTTTGATTAAGGTTGGGGGATTTCTCCTCCCGGGATGTCTTATTTCTTCTTAATGCCTATTTTTACTTGCAGAATAAGTGTAATGTGGGTTATGCTTTTATCAATATGGTGTCTCCTTCACACATCATCCCCTTCTATAAGGTTTGAAAATTCTATATAAATTTCACGTCTGAGGTCTTCTGTTCCCCGTATTTAAATTCTCATGTGCATAGTCTGTGATATACGGACTTCCTGAATATGATATTGTATATGGAATTATCCAATTTCCTTTATTTTAAAGCTAAATTTGAATATAAGATTAAAAGTATTTTATTTATAGTTTCTGGTAGTTTGCAAGTGTTAAACATGTCCTGGTCTGAAATTTTTGTAGGCCTTTAATGGGAAAAAGTGGGAGAAGTTCAACAGTGAAAAGGTTGCTTCACTGGCTTATGCACGGATACAAGGAAAGGCTGCACTTGTGATGCATTTCCAGAATTCAAGCTTAATGAATGAGGACAAACGATGTCGGCCAATTCTCTTTCATTCAGAGGGCCAAGATACTAGTGACCAGGTAATGTGATTGCAATCAATTGCAATTGCAAGATTGTTTGCGTGAACACATTGGTTCTGAGCTTAGATGTCATGCAAATTTGAAGAGCGATTAGGGATTTTGGATTCATGATTTACATATTTCCTTCTTCAATTTTTAGTTACAGCATTTAGGATAGCTTATTAGACTGAGTCAAACATCAAGGGTTAATGTAATTTGTGTCATGAATTTGAGCTTAGCTAGCATAAAGTTGTGTTTCCCCCTAGACTAAAATATCATAATGTGCTTGTAAGCCTGACAATTACTCTATATATACACCTGTTCATTTAAATGACATACCTGAGTGTTGAAGAGTTGAGCTGCACTAGTTCTGAATACTGTGTATTATATATTACATAGATTCTCTGTTTCACCTTATGAGAGTTGCTTGATTGTGATGTCACATTTGAGCTATCAGTTTACTTTTCGGTTGAAACATGAAACTGCTGAATTGTTTAACTATATTTTCGTTATTGGCCACATTAATTGATCAGTTATTCCTTTAGCATATAATTTCGATGGCATGTCTGACAGTTTCTTTCATTGCTTACCATCTAGGAACATTTTCTGTCTAGCAATTTGAATATATGCATTCGTCAACCAGATGGATCGTATTCAGCTGACTTGTTGGAGAGCCCGAAGGGGAATTTGGATCAGAAGTTAGAGAAAGATTAACCATTTGTTAGACATATTATTCCTAGCCACAATAAATGGGGTCTAGGAGTGCTAACTATTGCATTGGTGATCCTAAGGTGTACAAAGCTGATTCATCAAAAAAGAAAAAAAAAAAAGTTGTATAAAGATTGAGGAAGGGAGCAACCCAGTTATCGGTGGGTGGAGACTCCGGATATGTCAATAATCATAAAAGATGCAGAGAGCAGATTGTTGATGTGTAGAGAAACAATTGTTTTACAACCAGTGGAAAAGAATAACTTGGAGTGTATTGCTGCGTGGTTAGTTTCTATAGCAGCATGCATGCCAGATTGTGCAGGATTGACTCTGTCTGGGATTTGTTATTTTTTTTTCTTCTCTGTTAAGGGTTCTTCTGGCCATTTGCGGACATGACTAATGTGTATATGAAAAAAAAAAACAGTTTATGGGGGAGTAGTTTGTATAGAATAGGATCTGGGAATTATCCTAAATGTGTTTGTCAATTGTCATGTAGCCAAAAAAAATGTAAATGTCTGTAAAGATGTGAAGTTGTGAACTGGTTTCTTGCCATTGCATTTGTGCTTGGAAATACTGGAGGCTCTGTAAAGCACTGTTTTACCAACTATTATGAATCCTAGTCTTTCTCTTGTATTAATGTCTCATCATTTCTACAAAGATATATGCATGCAAACATTTAAGTTCGGAAAAAGATTTTAGAATTATCATATGCAAACTCCTATCGAATAATAAAAATGATTTAGCAAAGCAAGGTTGCCTAATTGTATCTTTGATGGATGATTTGTATGAGCAAATCATGCAATGATTTAAGAGATAGATTCGTTTTTCTTTATTTGAGACATCTTATAAAAAAAGCAACTATTATTTCTCTAAAAACAATCACCTGTGCTGGACTTCTAATACAAAGCGAAAGAGACCTATAAAGGTGTTCGAGAGACGTGTAAAGAAGAATTTTAGGAAAGAATCTTTGAAGGTTAATTGATGGAGGATTCGACTTTCTACACCACAAATTTTTTAGCCATCTCATTCATTCCATCCAAGAATAGGCATTTTGAAAAACAATTTTTATATTTCTAAAATTTCATTCAAAATAAGTTAGTGGTGGTGAAAAAAACATAAAATGCAGGAAAGAACAAAACTATATACTTTTATTATCAACTTCTCAAGTTAATAAGTGACAACTGAATATAGATTCCATGCCATTCTTAATTTTAAGAGTAAAAGAAAAACGTTTCATCGTTCAAATTGAAAAGTTGATAACAATATAAGAATCATACTAGGGATGACAATTAAACCCGTACCCGTGTGGACCGACCCGTCCCCACCCCGAGTTTGACGGGGAAACCCCGAGTTGACCGGGGGCGGGGTCGGGTTCAGGTTTTCCTCGCTTTAAAAAGTAGGGGGCGGGGGCGGGGATGGGTAATGCAATCCCACCCCGACCCACGCCGTCCCGCCACGACTTTATATTTAAATTTAAATTTTAAAATATTAATATTTTAAAAGTATTTCATTTTCTTTTTCTATTACATATAAGGTTATTTTTTTATATTTCACCAATTTTTATTTTTCTTCTACCCACTTTTTAATTTTTTTTATCTTTCTCAATCTTTTATATCAATTAATTTATTATATTATTCTCTCCCTTATCTTTCAGTTTTTCACATTTTCTTAGTCTCTCCCATCAATTTGTTTTTTTTTCAATCTTTTCAACCAATTTGATGAACACAAAGTTAATCTTTTTTCTTTATCTTTTTCTAAATATTTTACATCAATCTTAGTAGTAACTAATATTAGTTTATTTATAATTTATATTTATTATGCCATATTTTTTTATCTTATTATGCTTATTTATCATATATCAAATTTTATCTTAATAAAATAATTGCATTTTAAAGGATTAAAAGAAATTAATAATTTAAACTTTTATTACTTCAAACTAATTAAATAAGAATTAACTTATTAAATATTTTCTTATAAACTATATATTGACAACTTAAAAATGAATTAACTTATATGTATAATTAAATATTTGAATACAAGTATTATAATAATAATGTTATAAATATTCAAATATTTGAATACAGTGTTATAATAATAATAATAATAATAATAATAATAATAATAATAATAATAATAATGTTATAAATATTATATATATATATATATATAAATAAAAAATAATTAAATATTTCTTTTACATATATATTTTAATATAAATATAATAAATTAAAATGTATATTTAATTAATAATAACTATAAATTATAAATATTTATTTTTATATAAAAATACATAGTAAAATTAATTTATTATAAATATAATTATCTTTTTAAAAATAATATAAATTGGAGACGGGCAGGAACCCGAAACCCAGTGGAGACGGGGATGGGGACTTAATTCCTAATCCCGACGGGAATCGGGGGCGAGAACGAGGATGGTTAAAAAAGTCGGGGGCGGGGACGGGGGAGGCAAAACCCGCCCCCGCCCCGTTGCCATGCCTAAAACATACTAACTTTTTTCCATCTAAAAATGCTTAAAAACTCGGTTATTTTTGAAGAATTAATCCTTTTTAGTTTCTACAACGATTCTTTAGTCGGACATAGTATTAGGCAGGAATTTCATTAATGACTTCACTAAATTCTGATGCCTGCTCATGAGTAATGATGCTAAGGTAAGATTAGATGATGTCACAGTACAGTCCAGAACGTCAGAAATAAAATTCAAAGGTTTCTTTGTGCTATAAAGGTCATAGCATGCCCAGAACAAGTGAAAAGATGTTCTTGTAATGTTAAACAGGGATAAAAATTTGTTGTTGAGAATCCCTTTAACACAGTTCAATGTTTTCCCCTTGAATAAGTTTTGCCCTCAAATTTGTAGAGCATCAGCAATAGACCCGGCTAGACTCAATACTTCAAAAGGAGCTCTATTTGCTATAGCTTTGACAGTACGAGGGCAAGAATCTGTGATCCAGAAGTGGGTAAATGCTTTCTCCAAGGATTCTGCTAGTTAAATCAAATGGTAAGAACATCCACATACATGAAAATACAGGAATGTAGAAACCAGAAAGCATGTGACATTTAAGCCAGGACTAACCATTTTTATGAGTGAATCGCTCCCATGATTGGTTAGGGAACACACCGTGGGTGACATAGGCACTCACCTTTCCTGCACCATTCGCTGCCAAAACTTTCTAGAGAAAGCAACAATAAAAAAGAGAGAAATGTTCAGTGGCATTTACATGCAGAAGAAGCATGCATTGATTATTTGGCATATGCATACACAAGCATTGATAATTGATGATTGATGTATGTACACATGCACATACAGATTAACTGTTAATTAGTTTAGGTTGGTAAAACTAACAACAATAATCATCGACAAAAATAGTCTTATGTTCCCAGGTGAGATACACTTCAAACAAAAAATTTTCTTTTGACAAAATAAACATCTCTTTTTTCTTCTTTTATTTGCAAATTGAATATTGACCTGACACTCAATCAAGGTGCCTCCAGATTGGACCAAATCATCAACAATGACTACATGATGACCAGAGACATTGCCTTCCTTGAGCCGAACTATCCTCTTGTCACCTTCACGAACCTTAGTACATACAACCTGCCACATTAAAAAACAGACAGTCTATAAGCAAAACAAATATAAGTACAAATTAATAGAAGAGATACCTATAGGAAACCCACCACTGAAAAATTATCAAACTGCTTGTGGAATCGCTTCCATGCGCCATCATCTGGAAATGCAATAACTACCTGAAAATAACAATCAGAAATTCAGATTATAAAAAAAAATATGAATATAGCATCCATGGCAATTTTCCATGGAATATAAAAAAACCTCTATTTTAACATAACAAGTTGATCTGAAATAACACAGAATACTCACATTATCAGCATCAGGAAGCTGACCCAGACGTTGCTTTAAGAGAGGAATACCAGTCTCAAACAAAGGCAGAACTTCATCTCCAAAATAAAACCTCTCCTGCATAATTTTAAGATCATAAATAAAATTAGAAAAACTTGATAGTATGCTGTTACAACATCAAGTACACAAAGATGCAGTGATGAGAGACATGGACTAATGTTGCAAAAATTCATGGTTTCATTAGGGGTGAGGAAGTAAGTTAAGACAGTTAGAATATTAATTAGTTAAGGGAATATGACTCATTTAGTCTTGTGTATCAGTAAAATCCTTATTTTCTTTGCCATTTCTATTCTGCATTTAAGAGATTTCTACCAAGAATCAATGCTGTCCGAAAAATGAGAACATTAAAAGAGAAAAAACACAAGTTTTATCATGCTGTTGCATAGCTTTGACAAGTTGAAGTCAATGGGCAATAATTGAATAAGTTGTTCAAACAAAAGTGAAACATGCATTATTCATATGCCTTAAAAACTGACTATCAAAGGTACAGAACATAGATTTGATATTGAGCTAAATGATCGATGGTATTCTCATGTCAACATCAATTAAGCAGAAAAATAACTTGTAATTTCACATATTCGACTTTTGTGCAGCAACTTAATCACATATTCTGTTGAATGGTACCTTCACTCATTCTTTTGAGTGTTATACTTCAGTGAAGAAAAGTTCTTTGGAAGACAACAATGAAGAAGTGCAATATCCCATCAAGCATAACCAAAACAAGAGACTATGCAACAAAATTTCCATTAACAAGATTATATTGAGTAGCAATTCATAAGGACCTTAAATTATACAGCACAAAAGCAAAGAATAGTACTTTCTTCCAATGCAGTAAATACACAAACCTGCAAGGCATGAATGTCATATATGACTATGCTAGTTGGGCCACCTCTTGAAATTGGAATATTTGACAACATCCTTGCAAGGGTGAAGGCGGTTGCTACATCTCCTTCTTCCTCCATTCGCTCAAAGGATCCAGTTGGAAAGAAAGGCAATACCAATGTGAAGGAAGCAACAAATAGACGAGGGAGTGCATATACAACAGATAGTTGTTCAAAGACATGTGCTGGGGAGCTGAAAGATGCCAAAAAAGCAACATGTTGCCCTCGGAGTTCTTCTGCATTATTTATGTATATATTTGGAAACCCATCAGCAAATGACCTGAATAAGCATGAAATTAATCAGCATTTTCAGTTTTTTTTTCATAAAAAGAGGTAAACCAAATTCATCTTGCAGTTTGTTTGTAATAATGTCAAACAGGTGAAAGGTTTAAGAAATCCAGATCCCCAGACATCCAGGATATGAAGCAAAGAAAATACATCGTGACAAAACTAAGGTAACTGTTAATATCGAGCAGAAGTAAAGTAACTGTTATAACTAAGTATCATGACAAGAGAAGATTTCTAAGCAAATGTGTTATGAAAAAGCATCAAAACATAAGTACAAAACCAGAGGAACTGAGGGGAAGACAATAAATTTCTTCTGATAAAATCGTAAAAATTATCTATTCTAGTACTCGTCATTGGCATACTACATATCATCATAATCAGCTCCATCAGTATAGCTCTCACTACTCTGTTAACTATCTGTGAACCAGTTTCGTCCTCTTCAATATCAATTTCTTTGGAGCATGAAAAATTTGAAATCAGTTTTTTTCTTCTTTGTTGCATAGTACATGTTCCCATCCATCAAGTTCTAGGTACTCTAGCAAAATCCCCCCTTGCTTGAATGTCTATAGACAATATCTTAGCATCATCTAGAAAACCATCTCTCCATTGCATAAATCACTACTCTAAGATACTATCAAAGGAGGTGTGATGTATCGCAACATATTTATCATATATTATAACAAGTTTTAAGCGCTTGATTGATTAAAGCTTGATCATGCAACTTATTACGCTCAAGTTTCTCGCTCCTTTTGCTGTGAAGCTGCATCATGAAGTAAAGAATAAATGAAACTAGAAACATTCAGGAAGCTCTAGATGATCCCAACTGGAAGCATGCTGTTATGGAAGAAATGGATGCTCTTAATAAAAGTGGGGCTTGGGAAATTGTTGAGTTACCAAAAAACAAAAAAAGATCCTAAAAGGGTGTTCAGTGTTCATCATTAAATGCAAAGCCGATGGGAACATAGTACGTTCGAGGCAAGGCTGGTGGTTGCAAAGGGGTTCAGTCAAACATACGGGGAAACTTTTGCTCCCGCAGCTAAAATCAGTTCTACAAGAGTTTTGTTATCCCTTGCTGTTAATTTCGATTGGACGCTTCACCAATTACATGTACATAATGCATTTCAAAATGGGGACCTTAGCTTTGAACAGCACGCAACAATAAAGCATAACGTATTCTGAAAAGAAACCAAGAAATGACATACTGCAGAGAGACACCAACATGAGAAAGAAAAAGCTAAACACAGAACACAGTCATTGACTTGAACAAAGAAAAACGATCAAGTGTACAAAAAGAAAGCTAAAGTGAGAGAGAAGGAGAAAGAGAGACCTCCATTTAATGTTCTGGAGAATGATGTGGGGAGATAGAAGAGCAACCTTGTGGGCAAGTTCTTCACACTCAACGGAGTAGAAGAGGTTCACCTGCTTCTCGGGGGACTTCAACAATGCCATTTCTCTCTCTCTCTCTCTCTCTCTCTCTCTCTCTAACAATAGCAAAAGCGTAGAGACGAAGCAGAAAGAGAATTTAGAGGGAAGAAAAGGGTCAATAAAAGAAAAGGGTTTTCAGAGTTGTGCGTGGTGAGGCCACGAAGAACTCACATCACACCACACCACACCACACGGACGCAGAGGACCAAGTGAACGTAGAAATGGGTCGGGTCTGGTCAGCACCATTGGTCAAATTTCGCAGGAATATTGCTTGCAAATTTATTCGTTCATTTAATTGGTACTGAGTTATAAATATAAAATTATTATTTGAAAAATGTTTAATAAGTATATTTTTAAACACTGTTAACTAATTAAAAATGCACTTAATTTTTTTTCTTTAAATGTAGTTGTATTTTATTTTTCCTCACAAAATATAATTGTGTTATTTTGTTTTAGTCCTTTTTATATATATATATATATATATATATATATATATATATATATATATATATATATAGGTGAGAGATCATTCATCATCAAAGACAAATAAAAATATAATTTTCAAAAATACTAACAAAAATTAAAATAAACTAATTACAAAGCAAAAATATTTTACAAATCAAAAGTAAAATATAACTATATATATTGTTATGTCTTTTAGATAAAAAATATATTAAAATATTATAAATGTTTTATTTTAATTTATTACATACAATAGTTATTTATTCTCTATTTTTTTCAATTAAATTTAATATTATTTTTTCTTATAATTTGTTGTTATGATTTATAAATATATTAAAACCATACACAATTTATAACACATTATCTCATTCATATTTCTAATTCACCATTATAAATCTTATGCTATATATTTTAAACATCCTCGCACATAAATTTTATTTACAAAATTTATGGATTTTATCTTCTAAATTTTAGGTTTTGTCGCTATTGTTTTTATTATCTTTTTTATGACCTTTCTTGAACTATTAACAGCAATATATAATACAATATTTTAGTATACCTAAAATAAGGATAAGCATATATTCACTAAGTTATAGAGTTAAATAAGTTAATTTTATGTGACATATAATTAAATTATATATATATATATACGATGATGTGTATAAATTGAATGTAGTCCAAAGCATAGGTGAAAACAATTCAACCAAAATTCAAAGGAAAATTTCCTGGACTTAGACACCTCTAATTATACACATTTATTATTTATTATTAACTCTCATTAAATTGAGCTTTTGTAATTAAAATCACACAAATAAATAAACACATCACTTCATTATCTAGGACATAAAACTAACTACTGCGATGTAAATTAAAAACATAATAGGGTAGTATATTGAAAATCAAACTAAATATTTTAATAGTCTTAACACAAATATTTATTATATGAAAAACATATTTTATCCTCGGTGAAATTATTAACATAATAAGTTTCCTAATTTAATATAAAAACATTGTTGTAATATATAAAGTATAAGTGTAAAAATAGGTTTAATACGATATATTGATTTAAAAAATAGGTTAGAATAAATTAAAAATATTTATGACTTAAATTAAATGAGATATATTTTAATTCGATTTGTTTAGACCATAATCTATATACATTCAAGTCAGGTTAAATTATAGATTTATGAATTGATCTGAATAACAATAATAATTTTTAAATAAAAATAAAAGTAATTTTATTTTATTAAAAAAAATCTATATATTATAAATTAATTTAGCTAATGATTTACCTATTTTAAAAATAAATATAAGAGGAAGTCTTTAAAACATACTTATTCCATAATTTAATGATTAAGATAAATTACTATTTAAAATAAGTAAAACTAAAAAATTTGAATATGACACTAAAAAGTAATTTTATAACTCTTATTATATTTAATTATTATATTTTGAATAAAAATTAATTTTATTAATATAATTAAAAATTTTAAAATATATTTTTAATTTTATATTTTTAAATTAATTATTTTTATATAGATTTAATAATTTTTTAATTTTCAATTAAATTAAAATTGACCAATTAACTTATTAATTTAATATAGAACTAAAGTGAACAAAAGATAATGATCTATTTAAAAATATTGACAAGAAACATCAATTTTTTATTTATTTAATCTATATAAAATTAGGCTAGTAAAATATGGTTTTAAGTGTGCCTTCACACTCATTAGACCAATCTCTAATATAATCTGTATTGGATTTGTTAATATGTTTACTTATTATATAAATGATGCATAATTCAGATATTTATATATATACTGTCGAGTGTCGCGTGGAACTTCTTATAAATATTTCTTTTTCGACACTTTTCTCAAGTTACTCAAAGCCCAAAAGTCCCCTTTCTTCGCCCTCCACCTCTTAACTTTGTTGAATTCTTCAAATTTAAACTTGGAAATTTTGCTTAAATTTGGATTTTCATTCAAGGTATAACTCTGTCTCGTAAAGATCCTTGAAACTTGGGAAGCTTTACAAAGATTTAAAAATCTTCTCCATGTTGTACATGCATCCTTCATTGCTTCATATGTCTTCGTAAATGATAGTCATCTTCATCGTCATGTGATCTTTCACTATTACAGCAACTAGGAAAGAGTGATCTTAATCTTCTTGCATCACCTCTCTCTCTTGTTCTTGTTGTTTGTTCATGAAGAAGTTTAATTTTTTCATTAAATCATTTACATTAGAAATTGTTGGGGTTAATTAAAATCAAACAAACATAAATACAAGAAAATATATATGACTTATAATCATGATTAATTAATCACAAAAATAATGGGTAAAATTTAATCCTCCTCAAATGAAAATAAATAAGTACTTGAAGAACAAAATGTTTTAATCCACTCAAGAAGAATGTAAATAGATATTTTGGTTAGACACTTACTAATTTGATCCACACATGTTTTTGTTATATATCATGTGCATAAAAAATAATGTTATAAGTATTATTATCTTCCTACTCCTCATCATATGAATATGAATATAATAATAAATATGATTTTCATGAAGATAATGTATTTTTTTCTTTGAGTTTAAACTTTAATGAAGAACCAATAAGAAATCTAAACTCTAAAATATGAAACTCTAAAATATGAGATTTTAAAATATAGTAGTATAGTGATGCAAGATGAGGAAGAAATTGACTTTTGAATTGTGAGTTAATCAATCCAAGAATATGAGCTAACATTGAATCATTGGAAGTAATATTGAAATATCACTTTAATTTATTAATGAAGATAATATTAACATCACATGAATCTCTTAATGAAACATTACCAATCATTTTCTAGTTAAAAAATAATTACCAATTATTTCAGTACAAATATTCCTAAACATTATATTAACTAAAACTTTATAGTGAAGTTAAATATCATGCGAGTGAATGTGAATGTATATCTAATTATAAACTATTCAAAACAAATAAGATATTTATAAATAAATTATCTAATAGATATTCCTAACAATTTATAAAGAGGGTTAGCTGACCTAAGATGAAAAATTGATATAAATAAGGGAATGAAATTTCTACTAAATGAAACTTTAATTTTGGTTCTAAGTGCCCCACTAATCCAAGATATAAGCAAAAAACTATAGTATGATTTACTATTTGGAATCCATCAAGATAAGAACTCACCTAAACAAATTCACACTCTTGTAAAAAATTCTCAATAGTTTTTTTTTTTTTTAAGTTATAAAAATGAAACTTTTCTTTTACAGCAAAAGAAGACTACTAGGTACATTTGTAAAAAAAAGTCATTTTCATGTTTTGAAATTAGGTCTAAAAAGCTAGACAAATAATAAATAAGCCCATTTTAATGAAGTTTAGTACTCTTATGTAAAGAATTTAAAAGACTACACTAATACAGAATAGTCAAACATAGCATAGAATATCCTTATGTCTAAACATCAAATTATTTTTATATATATATATTTTTTCAACACATATAATTTCCTTCTCATATTCTTATCTTACTTTTTGTTGATGTTCTTTCCATATATGTTTTAAATTATTTCTTTCAATCTATAAACTTATCTCTATTTTTAAAATTTAAAATTTAGTAAAAATAATAAATGTTCGAGTTTTATCACCAAGAGCTTAACAACTTATCAAATTTGAGAGAATTAAGGGTCAAAATCATTTTTAGTTAATAGAATTCTAATTAAAAATAAATACATATTTACAATTTCTATATTTTAACATTTTTTTATTTAAATTGCCGACATATTTTTTTTTTCTTAACGACCCTTTTCACTTAATGTGAATTTTCCTTTTTTTCTGGTCCAATAACTTTATACAAGTTCAAAGTCTTCCATCGAAATTAAAATAATTAATCATAAAAGAAAATAGATAAAGAATATTTGATTATTAGAAAAATTCAAAAGGGTTAAATATAATTTTCCTATCTCCGAAATTAGACTGTATTAACATTTGTTGTTTTAGCCATATTTTTGCATTAGAATGAATGACCCCAATTTGAAGAAAACCCATATACAAATTTTTTAAGGAGAAAAGTCTAACACTTTTTTGTGGTGAAGTTGTTCAAATCCATTAAATTGTTTTAAAGTTTCAAATTGTTATGTAAAATATTGAGAAATAAAATAGTTTACTCACCCCTTAATACAAGAATAAAATTACATAAATAAAAAAAATGTAACATTTTATAAGCTAATAATAAACATAGAAATAAAACATATTTAGTTTTTTTTTTCTAACTTTATAATAAACATAGAATACACATTTTTATTTTCATAATTTTAAAACTACAAAAAGGAGACTGAAAAAGAAGCTCAATTTCAATTGATTATAAATCATAATCAATATATTTTCAGAGATAAACATCACAATTAATTTGGTCCAATAAAATTAATAAGGGAGGTATATTGTAATATATTTTCATAAAAAAAAAATTAGAGGCTAAAAACAATTATAATGATTTAGTTTTCAAAAAGAAGATCATAATGATGGAGTCTTTATCATTTCCATAATGATTGCATTTAGCAATAAAGCTAAATGGGATACAAGTGTCTGTATTCATTGACACACGTTAAATTGATAAATATTATCATTATGTCCTTATTTATTCACCATTTAAAATCAAACGACTAACCAACAACTACTTTTTAATTTAACTATTTATATATATTTTTTATAATAATATATTTTGATATTTATTATTTTTAAAATAATGTATTATAATTTATAATTGAATTGGAGCTTGTCAATATAGTGGACTTGTATAGTCATTGTTGCAGGTCTATTGGATAAAAAAAAGTGTGAAGAAAAATAAATAAATAAATGAAATAGAATAATCTTTTTTTTCAAAGTGATAGAAATAAAATTTTAATTTAAAAATATAATAAATAATTGAATTAAAATATTTATTATAAAATTATTTATATAATTTTATTGATTTTTATTAATAAAATAATTTTTAAATTAATATATTTGAATTAATATTATATTTTTAATAATATATGTATTTTATTATCAAAATTATATATTTTTTAAAAATATTTAAGTTTAAATTAATAAAATAATATTATATTAAAAAATATTAAATTTTTTGTTTTGATTTTTATAATAATTTATATATTTTGTTAAATAGTGATTAAAAATTAATATATATATATATATATATATAATTATAAATATAAAAATAATAATTATTTTTATTTGAGTAAAAGTAATTTTATAAAATAACATTATATATATTTTTTATTTTTTTCCATTTAAAAAATAAAGAGATATTTCTTTATCAGTTTCCTTAAATCAGATAAATATTGTTTTAACCGATTTTCCTATTTCATTTCCCACACTTATTCCTGTAAATAAACATAACCATAAAAATATAAATTATTCTCCAACTAAGTGGTTAGAAAAAACCTTAAAAAAATAGAAAATTTGATCAAACATTAGTTTAAAGTAAATCAATAATTTTAAAAAATTGTTTTTAAATGTTATTTTTATTTTTTTCTTAACATATTTTTAATTTATCATTTTCTTTAAAAATTTTAATATTTAAAAAAAATACTATGTATTGTTTAATCTTAAATTTAAATAGTATGATATATTTAATTTGTATGTTTATTTGAAAGGTTAAAATTTTATAAAATATATTATTAAGTTATGATATTGTATTTCTTTAATATTATTTAATTATTGCTATTATTTTATCAATACCACCAGTTCAACTAGTAGTTAGATCAATAAATCTTGAATTGATTAAGGATTAAGCTTTCAAATTATAATTAAAACTAACTCAATAATAGTAATAAATTACTATTAATATAGCCATTCATGGTAACTTAGTTATATAAGGAACAACACCTCAAAACTTCAAATGCATTGATGATGATAATAAATTATTATTATTATTATATATTGTTTATTATAATTATTTTTCTGGAATATTAACTGAACTTAAAAATTGTAGGTAGTATTGATAAATGACTGCCATCAAATCTCAACTAATTCAAATCAATTTATACAATCAAAATTTATTGGTTTCCTACCTTACTCTACCAAGAGTTATGTAAAGAAAATGTTGATTAATTTTAAAATTTTGAAATGAGTAAAAAATTAATGTAAAAAAAAAATATTAGAGTTCTGTGTTATTTAATCTTAGACTAAAATCTTTTTCAACATATTTTTTTTCTGTTTCACTTTATATGATTTGGAATTAATCAATATACTTAGTGAGAGTATTGTGTAGTAAAATAAATAAGTGATTAATTAAGGAGATAAAAATTATATTAAGAAATCACGTAGTGTTTTACACGAATTTAAAATATTAATGGAGATTTTAGTAAAACTTAAACCTAAACATATTTCATTTAGAATTTTATATATACTTGTTATCCTCTCTACCATTTTCTTGTTTTCATCCTTCATTTTTTTCCAACCCCAAATAATAATTTTCTATGAATAAATGCTTGAAAAGTTAATCATAAACACATTACAGTGCAATATGACAGATACCAATAATTAGTAATAATACACTTATTAATGATTCAAAATGAAAATATTAAATTAAATATGGCTATTTTACGTTAATTTTGGTTTAAAATACTTTACATCTTTAATATGAAAAAACAAGTACTCATTTTAATAAATATTATGAGTTTAAAATAATTTAGAATAATTACAAAATAAATTTGATTTTTATATATTTAAAATATCTTTCAATATTTTTTTTGAAGCTATTCAATCAAACGGTTAACATTAAATATATTGGTGATCGTTTTTAAAATAAAAAAAATCAAAGAATTACATTTTAAAAAAACTGAAAGAGTATGCAATAATATCAAATGAATGTAAAATGAATAAAATATAAAATATAAAATGATTATGCAATAATATCAAATGAATAATTTAATACATATTTAATATTTATTTATTTATAATATGATATTAATTTATTAATTTATTAAAAATTAATTTATAATAATAAAAAATTATAATTATACATCAAAGTATATGTTATTAAAAAATAGATATTAATTTAAATAATTACTTTAAAACTATTTTATTAATAAAAATCAATAATAATTAATTGATAATTTTATAATTACATAAATATTTATTTTTAATTCAATTATTTATTATTTTTTAATATTAATATTTTTTCATGTCACTTTTTCACAGAGGAATGAAAATATTTCTTATTTTATTCATTTTTTTTCCTTTTTTCACATTTTTTTCTTACTACCGAATATACCCTAATTAAAATTATGGATTTTGAAAAGTATACACATAAAAGTTTAATTAAAATTAATAGTTATTAAAAAAATATAAATATATAATTCTATAGGTTAAACTTTTATTTACCTGTGGATCTTTTATGGGTAAAGCAAAGTGATTTTCTTAGAAAAAAAAAGAACTTTTCAGAGGCAACATTTTAACCTAACTCCAACTTAGAAGATAAAGATAGAAGATGAGGAGAGAAAAAAATTGAAGTGTTTATTGATATTAATTCTTACTTTGAAGAATTTTTTTATGTCAGTGACAGAGGGGTCTCATTTAGGATACCATCTTCTTTCAATATTCATCTCTCTTAATTATGTTAGAGTATGCTTCACACCCACCTATTTTAGGTGTATTCATTTAAAAAAATAAATAAAAAAGAAAGATAATAAAGATTCTAAAAAAATTATCTAATGAAATATATATATATATATATATATATATATATATATAAATTATTTTTATTTTTATATAAAATTAATTATTATTTTATAAAACAGATAATTTAAATAATTAAACAAGACTAAATGGTTTAAATAAATTGAATAAAAACAAATAAATTTTTTGTTTTATATTTATTTATTTTTCGAGTCAACCCTAAACCTATTTTTACAACTTTATATATAACAAATAATAGAAATAAAATAAGAGATTGATAACAACAACTACTCCAAACTATAACCTTAAATAATAATATAATAATAAATAATATTTTTATATTAATATATGTGGTGGTTAAACGGAAGTTTTTGAAAAATATGAATGTGAAAATATAATTTTGGATAAAATAATAATGTCACAAGAGCTACCATAAAACTTATCACACCAATATATATATATATATATATATATATATATATATATAGTATTAAAGAAAACAATCTTTGAAATTAATCAGGATTTCATGCTTTTTTTGCAGCAATCCATTTCAATACTATAAATATATTCTCTGCCATCTTTTTGTTCGTAGAATCAACCACTCACAGCCTTCACACTCTCAGCATAACATATCCTTTCTTGTGATATTTCAATTGGCATACACATCATAGTGATCAAAGCAACTCAAACAATGGTGTCCTCCATGGAACTCCTAAGGCTTCCAAGTTGGCTCATGAACCAAGTGCTTGTTAAATCATGTTATGGAGTAGCAAGGAAAATTAAAAACCATGGTTTTCATTGGGGTGAACTTTCATCTGAACCAGTGGAACAACCTTCCTCATTCCCTAATATTGTCAATTGTGATTTGGAGGGTAGAGGGTCACAAACCCTTGCTTGTGACTTCCACAAAGTCCTCTTAAGAACTCATTCCTTCTTTCCCTATTTCATGTTGGTTGCCTTTGAAGGTGGAAGCATTTTCAGGGCTTTTCTCTTGCTTTGTTCATGTCCTATGCTGTGGATTATGAACTATGAAATGAAGCTCAGACTCATGATCTTCATCTCCTTTTGTGGACTCAGAGTGAAGGACATGGAGAACACTTCAAGGGCAGTTTTGCCCAAGTTTTACTTGGAGAACCTCAACCTTGAGGCCTGTGGGGTAGCGGCTTCAGCAGGGTCCAGGGTTTTCTTCACCACAATGCCTAGAGTGATGGTGGAAGGGTTTCTGAAGGAGTATTTGAATGCTGATGCTGTTTTAGCCACCGAGTTGCACACTGCTGGCTGTTACTTCACTGGTTTGCTCTCTAAATCTGGTTTGCTTGTGAAGCATGCTGCTCTCATGGATTATTTTGGAGATACAAAGCCTGACCTTGGTATTGGTAACACAAGTCTTCATGATCAACTTTTTATTTCTCGTTGCAAGGTATCTCTTATAAGCTAACTACTGCTTGATTAAGGCCATGTTAATGTTATAATTAACAGTTTTTTTTAGTCCATATACTCAACTAGATTCGAAGTATGAAAGAATATCTATATTAGAAAAGGTCATTTCATTGAATAAATTCCAATGTTTTCAGAGTTTTATCTTTATTATTAGTCCACCAAAAGATACCTCAGATTTGACAAAAAAATTAAAGAAGAAGAATGCTTTTCCCACGTAAGGTTTTTTAAAACAGATATATAATGTGAAATTTATTAAGAGGGTATTTGGTGTACATCAAGAGACCATCCATATATAGTGCTTTCTTTAATTTCAATGGTATTTTAAAGATATGTATATGCACAAAGCTAAAATATAAACTATAAACCAAACACTAATAACTGTATATGATGTTAAATACAATCTTAATTTCGAATAATAAAACTGTATATACATGCATGTGGTGGCACCAAAACTTGAGGTCTGTATTCATTTTGACTGATGAGTTAGTTTCTCCATTGGTACCCTCCCAGGATGTAGGGACCCCTCATCACGAGGTAGCCAAAAGAGACACTGACACCATTTTGAATATATATATACAACAAAAATACTAAGCAAACCTTACAATAAAATCTATGTAAGGCCACAGGTAGACGTTATTATTTTACAATAAAATCTGTTAGTCCACAGGTATACATTATTATGTTAGTCTGCAAAATGCATCCAACGCAATTAATTCAATTTATGCATTTTGTCTTATCTTATTCTAACTAAATGATAATGATAGGAGGCATATGTGGTGATGAATGAGAATGGAAAAGTGATGCCAAGGAGCAAATATCCAAAGCCCTTAATATTTCATGATGGAAGACTAGCATTCTTGCCTACTCCTTCAGCAACCCTCTTTATGTTCATGTGGCTTCCAATTGGATTTTTGATGGCCCTTTACAGAATCTTTCTGGGTGTGTTCCTTTGTTGTAAATTCACGATGGCATTAGGAGTGTGGAGTGGCATGAATCTGAATTTCAAGGACAATAACCGACAAAGATCAGAGACAAATAAAGGGGTGCTTTATGTTTGCACTCACAGAACTCTCTTGGATCCAATTTTTCTCAGCACATTTTTGGGGAGGCCTCTGACTGCAGTCACATACAGCTTAAGCAAGGTGTCTGAATTGATAGCCCCTATTAGGACCATAAGACTCACAAGGGACAGAGAACAGGATGGGGAAACTATGAAGAGGTTGCTTAGTGAAGGGGATTTGGTGGTGTTCCCTGAAGGAACAACTTGTAGGGAGCCCTATCTGTTAAGGTTCAGTTCCTTGTTTGCAGAACTAGCTGATGAGATTGTGCCTGTGGCTATGAATGCTGAAGTGAGCATGTTCTATGGGACCACAGCAAGTGGGCTAAAGGTGTTGGATCCAATTTTCTTTTTCATGAACCCTAAGCCTAGATATGAGATTGAGATCCTTGCAAAGGTTCCTAAGGAGCTCACATGTGCTGGTGGAAGGTCAAGTCATGAAGTAGCAAATTACATACAGAAACAGTTGGCTTATGCTTTGGGATTTGAGTGCACCAACCTTACACGGAGGGATAAATATATGATGCTGGCTGGAAATGAAGGGGTTGTTCAAGAAAAGAAGGGGAGAAGATTCTGCTAATGGATGGGGTTTGTCATTCATTTGAAATTCCATGGTGGTTTTGATTTGGAAAATTGTTCAAAACATTGTTTTTTGTTTTTTTTTTTGTTATATAGTTTTCTTATTCTGTGACATGTCAAATCTCTTAATGTGTAGAACAGAACAGAGTCAAAGTGATTTTACACGTGAAGTTTGTACTGCATTTGAAATTTTATTGGGAAACGTGTTTGGTTTAAATCACATTTTTTTAATATATAAATATATTCAATGTTAAATCATTTACTTCATAAAAACAATAGAGACAAAAGAGTAAAAGAAATTTCATTATTGTGTAAAAATAATAGCGAGAAAAAGTCGTGAAATAATTAATAAGATGCTTTCACCGAATGCTAATCTTATACTAACTAATCTATGTTTTCTACACAGTGTAAAAGAGAAAACAAAATACATATATATACTATACAGGTATATACATATTAAAAAAAGTATAATAAACAGAAATGAAAAAAAGGGTTGGGATACAAATTAATATATGGCATATATATTTTTTTATTTGGTTATGTCAATTTTAGCCTTAAATTTAAGATGATAAAATGGATCAAATATAACAAACCGACACACCTATTTATTCTAAATATATGAATTGACATTTTTAATCCAATAATCTGCTTTATCTTGCAAACTCGTTTTTGCTAATTCACGGAACAGGGTGTACCAACCCACAACTTGTTTGGCTAATAAAAGAAATTATTTTGACTGGAACAAAGTCATAGGGACAACAATGAAAATTTAATTTTTTTTAATATAATTTGTGAAAGGAGAAATAATAAAATCTCACTCCCAATAAAATAAACAAATATAGAAAATTTTAATATAATTTAAAATAACATGAAGTTATAAAAATATTATATAATTTCACAAATTTTAACATTACCTACATATATTTATTTATATAAATTTATCTTAAATATTTTAAATTTTAATTTCTTAAGACAAGATAAGTAGTTAGATTATTGATAAATAAGCATTGATTTTATTATTAAGCTTAATAAATTAATAATTAAAAAAAGGAAATTAATTATTTAGAAAAAATGTGACGAGCTAACTCATGAGCTCATTCTTTGATATGATAGATTTTGTAACTAATCTTGATTATGGCAAGTCAATTTGTCCTACCTATTTCTTATTTTTAGAGATTAAAGATAATATAAATTAAAATAGGATTAACTAACTAGTTTTGTTACCCTACTAGTTTTTATAAATTATACAACCATTAATGTTATTTGTCTTCTACTTTATTATAATTTAAATGAAAAGATTTCTGACCTTGTGTACATGAATAAATAACATATAATAGTGTTAAAATAAATATTCACATAAATTACTTGCAAGAAATTGTAATTGTGTGAAGGTAATTCTTTGGCACATATGAAAATAAGGTGTTTTGGTGACTAGGAACTTTATTTTTTAAAATATGTACAATTTATTCTAGTTGGCTTACTCTATTGGATTATTTGGTGAAAGTTGGGTTGATATTTTTATTATTATAATTATTTTTTTTGGTACACATTTTTAAAATAGGGGAAGGTAGCTTTTTATTTGAGAACATTATAATGAAAGTGATTATTATAAGTATTTTTGTCGATGTAATAATACTATGACAAGAAAGAAAAATATTGAATCAGTTGAAATGTCGAAGATATCAAGTTTAGTGGATATAGTTGAAGAAATGAGTAATGAGTTGAATATAAAGCTGAATATATTGAATATTGTTGTTGATGTGATATTATAGTTGAATTATAGCTTTAAGACAATATGGAAGAAAAAAAAAAGTAATACTTTGTTGTGATAAATTAAAATGGAATTTAACTCTAAAGGGATGTGTTAACTGAGAAAGTTGTAGTTCAAATGTTGGTTCACCTCTTTGGTTATTAACATACACATGAACACTGTTTGATTAGTGTGATGCATTGTGAGTTTTAATTTAATTAAGTTTAAGAAATAAAATAATCAATGTTGTTTGATTCGAATTCATTTAGAGTGAAAAAGAAAGCAAATCATTAGGTCTCATTTTTTGTTTTTAATAATTTTGTATTGTTGGTCTTATATGGAAATATTTTGGGATTTAACTATTCTGGACTTTAACTATTATGTTTTGTTTCTTAAGCCAACACGATTTTGAAATTTAAAATTAATGGTAGGTTGCGATCAACTACCATAACTCGGGTTAAACCCATGGGTTAAGTGAATCAGATTCATTTTTAGTCCATAATTGATAGAAAAAAAAATCGAATTCTACCTGACTTAAACCCGTAGTGAGCCAAGTTAACTCACAAATTATAACCCATATTGACACCCCTACTCTTCAACCACAATCATTCTACAAGGGAATTGGAAAATACAAATAAATCCATTTAAAATATATTGTTGGTTCTTTCTCATTTTCTCTCCATACCACTGTTGTCGTTAAAGAGTACAATCTCATTCTCATCAATCTACACAAAGAGATAGAATCCACTTGTTATCTTAACCATTAATTTTGGAAAGGCCAAATAATATATTATTAATAAATAATAAATAAATATAAAAGGGTAAAAATAAGATGAAAGGATGAGAGGATAAAATTGTAAATATATAAGTAAATATATTAAATGATTATTAAGTTTGGGGGACCAAAATCATAAATTATATGAGAGTTACAAAACTTTGGGGGTCACGACTCCATCAGTTTCTAAAAAGATCCGCCACTGCACTTGCTAGTCGCATTGTAAAAATCAATAGAGTTCTTTTTGGCTAAATTGGTTGTACTCCATATTGGTTCATCTCTTATATTTGAATTAAGTATGTTTCTCGTAAGGTCATGTTAATGATATAATATTATAAATTTCTTAAAAAAATCTTTAATGCATATATAACACATTCATTTTTCTCTTGTTACTTTATCAAATATTGTTGAAATGTATTTTCTACCAAATTGTAAAATAGAATCACATTTGCATTCCTCCGAAATAAAAATATTAACTAATGTAGATTGTACCCAGTGAAATGATTGTTAAATCTGACTGTGCATTCTTTATAAGGTAGTACATTAACTTCTTTCTCAATCTATACCATCGTTAACATGTTCATTATTTGGACATAGTCTGGAAATTGAATGTAAGTTCATTGACTAAGGTGTTCATTGAATGTAAGTTCTTGTAAAAATATACCTACATTTGAGAAACATGATGTTAAAGAATATGCATGGTCTAGCAAGCAAGGTGTGGACAAAACTAACTTGTTGAATATGTTGCATTGATGAATATATCAACATAATCGTATTATTTAAACATATAAATTTTGGTCATTTGCCAAGAACAAAAAGTGAAGTGAAGTTTATGCATCATGACTATAAATAGGTTCATCTACTTGTAGTGCCACATATTTAATCACCTGTGCTATTATGACAAATTTCTTGTATTGCTCATTTTGATAATGGTAAGAGTTGAAATAAGGGTAAGAACTAAGCATTGCTTGTATGCACTTCGAGCCTATAACACGTCTTTGACATGCATGCTGGCAAATTTTGGGTCATGTATATATATGATACATAATTTAAATGTGTTAAGACCATTATTTATTAAGCCAAATAATAAAATGATCTGACTAAATTAAAAAAGTTTGGCTAAAGGCATATGTCATGAAAATAAAATTGTGTAGAGACCATAGAGCAATTTCTAATTTGATGAGGGGTCAAATTAGAAATACTAAAACTTAAGTAATTAACCTAATTCTGGTTATTTTAAGGGGTCATGGTCCCCTTCTGGAAGTACGTAGACAGAACGTAAGTTTCATTCCTGTTCCTTTCTTTCTATCCCCATCAAGAAAGAAAATCAAGAGGGAAATACGAGGTGCTCTTCAGGTGGAAGACCATAAGATCAATATAGTGCTCTACAAAGACATCATCATTATGGTTAATTCAGGTACGCTTTTGCATTCAGTTTACAACATGTTTATCATTATGAGATTACGTTTATGTTTGATCGTTAGAATCAAAATTAGGATTATTATTATTATTATTATTATTATTATTATTATTAATTTTCCAACAATTGGTATCGAGCTGCCCATATTTGATTCATGTCTGTTTAATTTATAGAACCCTAATTATGAAAATTAGGATTAATTTTGTTTTAAACAATTCAAATTACCCAATTTTATGAACCCTAAGTGGAGAATAATCTCTAATTTTCGTGAACCCTAAAATTTAAATTTGGGGGTAACATCCCCAATCTGATTCTGCTTGCTGATGGAACCATGGAGGAAGCTATGGATTCTTCTTATTCTTCTTCTTCGTTTTTCCCTTTTGTTTCAGTTTAAGTTTCAAGTTTTACTGAGAAAGAAATAGTGTTTCAAATTTCAATCTTTCTTGTATTGAGTTCTCTGTTCTCTTTGAATCTTTTGTTTTTATTTAATTTTATGGGTTTTTGTTTTTGTTTTCTTTTCATGGTGGATATGGATGAGTTTGGAATTGGGGGTGGTGTTTGGGGAATTCCCAACACAGAAAATCTTAGGTAAATGGTGAATGTTTCCACAGGTGTGACTGTTCTTATTTTATTGCCTTTAGGAAAATTTGATGTTAAATTCCCCTGTTTAGGGTTTGAATGATTACTGTTTAATCCCCTTTTAGGGTTTAGAGCAGTATGCTAAAGAGACTCAGAACTATCTCTGTTTCATCCCTAGTGTGATTTTAGGGAGATGTTCATCCTTTATGTATTGGTGGAAAATGAGACTTTTTTTCTCATCCTTTGATTTGTTCAAATGAGGTGTTCATCCCTAATGAGATTCTAGGGAGGTGTTCATCCTTAGTAGAATTCTAATGAGGTGATTCTCTTTTGAATTAGTTTGCAAATATTAAATATTTGGTTTTGTTATATAAATAAAATATTCAATTTTTGGTAGTTAAAAATTTTTTGTGAGCAAATTGAGTCAAGAAGTCACCAAAGTAACTTCTCTTGAATTGGACAGTTCATGAAAAATAT